TTTGCTATTTACTGCTAAAGGAATGGAGTATTAAAGTAGGGAAGAGCTGTTGCAGCTATCACCTGGAGTAACGCACACAATTTTGGATCCTTTACTTGAAGGTGGATGTAGTTACACTGGAGGTGGTTCACAGGAGGTTTATTAGATTGATTCCAGATATGAGAGGTTTGTTTTATGAAAAAGATTGACCGTCTTAGACCTATATTTTCTGGAATTTAGAAAAATGAGAAGAGATCAAATTAAGGCATACAGGATGCCAAAGGAAACATAAAATAGATACAGTGAGGATGTTTCCTCATGTGGAGCAATCTAGAATGAGAGGTCATACTTTTAGGTTAAGGGGTAGCAGATTTGAATCAGACATGAAGGGAAATACTCTCTCAAAGGGGTGTAGATCTGTGGAATTCACTACCCCAGAATATGATGGATGCTAAGACTTTGAGTAAATTTAAGAAGATAGACAGATTTTTAATTATTAATGGGTTGAAAGGTTATGGAGAATAGGCAGAAAAGTAGAGTTGAAGCCGAGATGAGATCAGCAATAATCGCATTATATGCCAGAGCAGGCTTGAGAGGCTGAATTACCTATTCCTGCTCCTCATTCCTACATTATGTTGTCTTGTAAGAAGTCTAATCATGAGCCTCACCAATACCTTCAGTCCACAAGAGAGACATAGAAAACAAATGGAATCTCTGTGCTACTGTTACAGCACAAGTACAAACATTCACAGCAACCAGTATGTAACATTATCATACCTTGAATATCCTGCAAGCAGCTGCAGCAGCATGTTTCTCTGCAACAACTTTCTTATTGCCGAAACCTTCCACTTTCAGTTTTCTTGGCCAACTGATGTACAGAACGGTTTTCTTTGTAAAAGAAAGAAGATTGTTACAAATTGCCAGCAAACCATTAGATGCAGCAAGAAATAATATTTGGCACTGCATGCCGTAAAACGAGACAAGTACTGAAATCTATTAAGGATAAAACAAGGCTAGAAGGTTATAACTACCAAGAGCAAACCTAGGCCCTGTTGGCAGGGCAAGTCCAGCTCAAGGGAAAAACCACCTCCTGTTCACAGGAACAGCACCAGATTAGAGGTGAAAACATGACCAAAACTAGTTTCAGAGCTCACATGGATCAGAGCCACAGCCACAGCTATTCACCGTTTAAAGATTATGACTGAGGAATTTTAAGTACAATTTCAAACTTTGTAGGCTACATCGAATCAGAGATGCAGTTAATTAAAAAAGAGGCTGCAGCAAAATATAGGAAGTCAATGAAGTTTGCGGCATTTAATGTGTGATAAACTTCAATGAGACTACAAAAGGCAGGATAGGGAAATTTTCATGCAGAGCATAAACATTGCGGTGGATCTGTTGAGATGATTTCTGCGCTGCAAATACAATGAAACACATTATGCTAACAACCCCTTTTTGGTTCACACAGAAGAGCAATCGCTTGGGCGAGACAACAAAGTGTGCTATTTATCTATGAAATATTTCTGGAAAAGGTCAAGCCTCAAAGGGGGTTGAAACATAGAAAAACAAAATTAGGCGAGGTTAATCAAGGTAATTAAATACCACACAACAATTCACCCCAAATTGCAGGCATTAGCTAGTCAGCAACAGTTATAACTTTTACTTTTGTAGAGCGGACAAACAGGACAGGTCAACTTGTCCTTGACTTCATTTCAATGTACATAAACAATTGTCAGCATCGGTTAGAGGCTTCTATTAGAATGTTGTCCATTCACAGATGTTGGCGTGTTCACCGAGCTGGGAAGTTTGATAGCAGACATTTTGTCCCCTTATTAGGTGACATCCTCAGTGCTGTGGAGCCTCCTTCACGAAAAGCCTGCTATCAAACCTCTCAAATCAGTGAACACACCAACATCTACAACCAGCAGTCAAGCTACAAATCTTCACTCAAACCCTGAACATTGTCCATTCAACCAGCATTATAATCTATCCAGCAATCTAAGGAAGGGAGTTAAGAGAGGTGATGCACCAATAGTAGAGCACCCTGAAGAAATGAATACAACACATGTCATTCAATCCTCAGTTTGAATCCTGCCATCTGAGAATGATGAAAGAGTTCTCTTGGGAGAATGGAGAAACTAAATTCATTATTAGTTTCTAAAGGAAAATGAACACATGCTGGAAGAATACTTTTCAGGGCTATGGGGAAAAGAACAAGAAGGTGGGATTAATTCTAAAATTCTGTAAGAGTTGACTTGGGCACACTTCAAAGATACCATCAGATTCTTTGTAGATAGTGTCGTGAAAGAATAACATCTGTCTTTTTCTCTTAAGTTATTCAGTATCAGAATGTGGCCATCCCACTATCAAGGCAACACTCATTGGCCATCCCAAGCTACTTTGCTTGACCACTTCAAAGTTAAAAGGCAGGCCTGCTAGTTTTGAACTGCAATCACACGAGGGCTAAACCAGGTGAGGTCAGCAGGTTTCTTTTGTTAAAGAGCATTAAGATGAACCAGTTGTATAATTTTAGGGCACTCTGAAAGTTTCGTGGTCACTAATAGCTTTTCAATTCCAGAATTTGTTTAGACTGAATGAAAATTCTAAACCTGCCATAGTGGGATTTGAAATTTCTCTGGAATATTACTGAAGATTTGAAGTTTGCTAATCCAATACTTTTTTGCAGGTGATATGGTTGCACAACTGGGGGTGTGGAATCAGGGAGCCTAGCCAATTGTCCTCTCCACACTGAAGTGTCAAGACCAAACTTGCCAAAACTAATTTAATCAAATTAGATTGAAAAATAAACATTGATAACCACTTACTTTAATGTATCCATCAAATGATTTGTAGACAATGTGATCATTTACATTAGAAGCCTTCAGAGCTCGCTGCATGACCTGAACTAGCAGGTTCTTAGGCTGTGGAAACTCTTGAAGAAGGGCCTGTAAGTCTAAACAAACATTTTAGTTGAATTCAGTATGCCAGCCATCATCACCGAGCTAATGCTTGGAAAACCAATTCTTTGCCTCTTCCCTACAAGATGCCAGTTTGCTGCATTGGAGATCACTGGACACCATCATTCAAGGGCCATTATGTAAATTGTGATCACAGATTCTTTTTGTAGACTTCCTCCTTTCCTCGTCATTCCACTCCAATCACAAGACAATCAATTACAATTTGACTGATCACAGTGAAGATTAGTTGGCTCAGCAAAGAATGCAGAACATGGGAAATCAAACATAAGTTCACAACAGATTTGCAATTCTTGCATCTATGCACCAAACATTCAGGTCAAGAGGTCCCAGGTATTCAGGTCAAAAATTTAATACAGTACAATACGCACTTCAACTGCAGCCTAACTAGCAAATGTTTAAAGTTTTACATGCATTCCTTGCTTTTATTTTCAATGCCTCAACTTATTGGCTACAGTGCTAAACTGAACTTGTCCTGCCACCTTCACAAATTTGTACACAAATGCATCCATCTCTATTCCTCACTGGCTATATGCCCTTTCCTCATTTCTTTCTACCGAAACAGAACATAGAGCATAGATCAGTACAGCAATGTACAGGCCCTTCGGGCTACGATGTTATGCTGAACTTTTATCCTAAACTTAAGATCTATCTAACCTCCACCCCTACCTTATACTATCATCTATATGCCCATCTAATAGCCACTTAAATGCCCCTAATGAGACTGACTCCACTACCCACTCCGGCAATGCATTCCACGCCCTTACCACTGTCTGAGTAAAGACCCTACCTCTGACATCTCCCCTATATCTACCTCCACTCACTTTAAAACTATGCCCCCCTCGTAATAGCTACCTCCACCCTAGGAAAAAGTCTCTGGCTGTCTACTCTATCTATACCTCCGATCACTTTGAACACCTCTATCAAGTTACCTCTCATCCTTTGTCGTTCTAAAGAGAAAAGCCCTAGCTCTCTCAACCTTTCCTCATAAGACCTTCTCTCCATTCCAGGCAACATCCTGGTAAATCTCCTCTGCACCTTTTCCAATGCTTCCACATCTTTCCTGTAACGAGGTGACCAGAACTGGACATAATACTCCAGATGTGGCCAAACCAGGCTTTTGTACAGCTGGAACATAACTTCACGGCTCTTGAACTCAATCCCTCTATTAATGAAAGCTAACACACCATACGCCTACTAAACAACGCTATCCACCTAGGTGGCAGCTTTCAGGGAACTGTGGACATGAACCCCCAAAAAAATGAATCACTTTAATCTCTTGTTCAGTACACTACTGAATTTAGTTGAATACTTATGCGCAACTGCATTTTGTTTCTATATCTCAATACTTAATAGGTAGTTTTGAGTATTTTTATTTTGTCGTTGGTCTTTTAATACAATATGTAAGTATTTTGTAACATGCGTGTGCTTATACACACAACAAATAGTGAAACGTTGAAATGTGTCCCCGGTCAGTAGCCCGCACCTTGCTGACTGCCCGTTCCTGTTGGCAGCGGCGGCTCCGACATTCCGTCCTCTCCCCCGGGCGTGACTTGCTGCTGCCGACTCGTTGTGTGCCTGAACCGGCTCATTGCCGCTGTCTGGCCGCAGTCCCACTCCAAGTGCCAAATCAGAGGAGCAGGCGATCCCCAGGCTCCGGTGCTGGGCTGCCTTCGCGGACAGAACCTCCTCATTAAAAAACACAGCGCTCGCCACCTCCCACCTGCGGACACCGCCATCTTGGAAAGATGGGCTGGTTCCTCAGGGCGGCTCCAGAACTTCGCGGAAAGACCAGAACAAAGCACAAGATGGACCATTTAAAAAAAAATCAGGAACTCCGACAATGAGCCCAGCGCTGCCTCTGGCGGCAGAATCGAGTACTAAGCTACGGTTAATACGGTAGGATTATGAGAGCTCTTAAAAGGGTGGTGTGCACTCTCTGCTGCAGTAAAAATGGTTCTGTCAATGGAAGGAGTGTTAGTGTCTGAATCTTTCCATCACTTCAAAGTACAAAAATAATTTTGCAGAATTGTTAGAGCATGGAAGGAAACCACTCGGTTCACTGTATCTGTGAGGTCTCACTTAGTGCAATCATCTTGCCTTCTCCCTGTAATCCTGTCCATTGCTCCTTTTCAAGTTCCCTTTTTGGAACAAATAACATAATACAGTACAAGAACAGACACTTTCCTGTGCAGACACTTGATGCCTTTCTAAACTAAAAACCTTTTGCCTCTACACTGTCCGTATCCCTCTATTCTCAGCCTATTCACATATCTGTTTTCTGAAGAAGGGTCTAGACTCGAAACGGCAACTTTCCTGCTCCTCTGACACTGCTTGGCCTGCTGTGTTCGTCCAGCTCTACACCTTGTTATCCCACATATCTGTCAAGATGCTTCTTAAACGTTGCTACTGTATCCGCCTCCACCACCTCCTCTAACAGCGCATTCCAGCCACTTATCACCCTCTGTGTGAACAAAAACCTGCCTCTATCATCTCCTTTAAACTTACTGCCTGGTACCTTAAACCTGTGCTCCCTAGTAATTGACATTCCTACCCTGGGAAAAAGACTCTGACTATCCAATCTCTCCATGCCTCACATAATTTTGTAAACTTCCAAAAGGTTGCACCTCATCTTTCGATGTTCAAGTGAAAACAAACCAAGTTTGTCCAATCTCTTCTTATAGCAAATATCCTCCAAAGCAGGCAACATCCTGGAAAATTGTTTCTGTACGCTCTGCAAAGTTTCCATATCTTTCTGTCATGTGGTGAACAGAACTGTACACAATATTCCAAATGTGACCTAACAGGTTGAGGAGTGACCTTTATAGAGGCTTGTAAATTCATGGGAATAAATAAGATGAATAGCAAAGGTCTTTTTCCTAGCATAGGGGAGTTCTAAACTACAGAGCATAAATTTAAGTTGAGATGAGGAAGATTTAAAATGGACCTGAGGAGCAACTTTTTCTCACAGACAGTGGTTCGTATACATAACCTCGCGGCTCTTAAACTCAATTCCCCTGCCAATGAAAGTAAACACGCCATATGCCTTCTTTACAACCCTATGATGGTGAAGGAGATAGAGGATCAGTCAGCCCAGTTCCCAAAGAACATGACCTCGCTGTTGCCTTGATTTACCTTGACTCCCAAGGCCAGTTCAAACTGGTTGCAGATGTTCATGATTCTGTGCACAGTGGACCCGAGCAGAAAACAGTGATGTCATTCATTTACAGGGCAGTTTCGACCTGTAGGCCTTTGCTGCCTGGAAAGTCACCCCTCTCAGACTCGCACGCTTCCTGGTGGACTTGGCAAAAGTTTCTATACAGCACACAAAGAAAGCAGGAGAGAGTGGACAGCCCTTCCAGACTCCAGGTCTGATCAGGAAGCTTTCTGATTCCCACCCATTGATTGAAACTACACTACAGAGGTTGGTGCAGGCCAGTTGGATCCAATTTCGTATTCGCTGTCCAAAACCTATTTTAGAGAGCGTGTCCCACATGTTGGTGTGTGATATCCTGTCAAAGGCCTCCCCCTGGTCCAGGCTGATGAGGCAGGCACCCACTGCCCTTCTTTGCACATAGATGATCGTATTCATGAGGAGCACGAGGCTCTCAGAGATGGTCGTTCCTGGTACAGCATAGGTTTGATCCAGGGGAATCACCAGAGCAGACCTGACCCAGTTGGCAATGACCTTAGACAGGATCTTGTAATCCATATTCAATGATTGGCAACTTCTAATTTCCTCCCTCTCCCCCATCCACTTGTAGATGAGGGTGATGATACCATTCCTCTTAAATTCGCACATTCTCCCTGCCAGAATCATACTATTGTACATCTCCAGCAGGTCCTAGCCTATCAAGTCCCTCAAGCTGAATACAACTTGGCTGGTAAGCCGTCACTTCCAGGAATTTTACTTTTTTCGAAGGACTCGAGGGCCTTGGTTAGCTCTTGAACAGTTCTAGCAGATTGGACTGTGGCAGATGTAACATTGCTGTTTAAAAAAAAATGGGTGTATGGAGAAAATTGTATTTGACAAACATCCTGGAGTTTTTTGAGGACATTAGTCTTAGAATAGATGAAGAAGAACCAGTGGCGCTGGTGTACTGGGTTTTCGGAAAGCTTTCGATAAAGTCCCAAGTAAGAGTTTACTGTGCAAGATCAAAGCACATTAGTTTGGTTGTAATATACTAGCATAGATTAACAATTGATTAGCAGACAGGAAACAAAATGTATTGGTCCTGTTTAATGCCACTCCCAACATCACCCCTACAGTTCGGGGGTTTATATACAACCACCACTAATGATTTTGCCCTTTGGTGTTTCTCAGCTCTACCCACACAGATTCTGTATCATCGAGCTAATATGCTTCCTCACTATTGCATTAATTTTCTCTTTAACCAGCAATGCAACACTACCGCCTTTTCCTTTTCATCTATCCTTCCTCAATACTGAACACCTCTGGATATTCACTTCCCATCCTTTGTCACACTGCAGCCATGTCTCCATAATTCTGATTATATCATACCTGTTTTTATTCATTTGCGTGATTAATTCATTCAATTTCTTGCAAATGTTCCACACATTGAAACACAAAGCCTTATACTTGGCTTTTTTATCATTACTTGTCCCATTTCCGTTATTTTTAATTGTGCCCCTATTTGATCCTGGCCCATGATTTCTTGCCTATAACTTTTCTTATTCCCCATTCTGTTTGTTGTCCTTGTCCTTGATTCTCCTTCCTCTGATTCCTCGCTCCTGCCATTTTAGTTTAAAGCCTCCCCAACAACTCTTGCAAATAGTCCCCCAAGGACATCAGTCCCAGTCCTTGTTTTATTTATTCATGATATCTTGTTATAAACTATTAAGGTCACTATTTATTGCTCATCTCAAATTGCCCTTGAGAGGGTAGTCGAAAACCTAAAAACCAAAAGAATTGTGGATGCTGTAAATCAGAAACAAAAACAGAAGTTGCTGGAAGAGGAGTTGGCATCCTCATGCATAAATCACAAAACACTAGCATACAATGTCAGTGCGAAATAAGGATAATAAATGGAATGTTGGCCTTTATTTTAAAGGGAATGGAGGACAAAAATCGGGAAGTCTTGTTAAAACTATGTGTGACACTATTTCAATGACACCTAGAATATTACGAATAGTTTTTGTTCCCCTTATCTAAGGAATGATATCTTGGCATTGGAGACAGTCACTAGGTTGATTGTGGGTATCTATGGATTTTCTCATGAGAAGGGTTTGAGTAGGTTTGGCTTGTACTTAGGGCTTCGAAGAATGAGGGGTGACCCCAGTGAAACATTCAAGATTTTTAGAGACATGGCAGTTTAGATATGGAGAGTTATTTTCACTGTGTGAGAGAGAAAGGGTATAGTGGATATAATCTCTGAAGAAGGGGTCACCCGGTTAGGACAGAGATAACGAAGAATTCCTTCGCTTCATGAGAATCTGTAGAATTCTTTCCTACAGAAAGTTGTCAAGGCTGGTTTCTTAAGTATATTCAAAGCTGAGATATGCAAATTTAATCAATAAGGGAAACAAGGAGTATAAAGGCAGGAAAATGGAGTTGAGGATTATCAGATCAGCCATGATCTTGTAGAATGGCAGAGCAGACTTGATGGTCCAAATAGCCGACTCCCACTCTTACATCTTGTAGTCTTACCTTCTGGTCCAAATCTCTTAATTTTAATCTGGCAACTGTGGTACTTGTTATGAACATTTTGCTTCATCTACCTTTTCCTATCCATTCATAAATTTAAACCCTCTTGATCATTTCAGCCCATAATCTGTTGTTCTGAATGCTTAAAGTCTCAATTTTTCATATCATGTGTGAGGCTCCACAGATTGCTTGGCCCTCCGGTCATCCAGTTATTCACTCCTTACATTTCAGTGTATCGGTAGACTGTTTGGCTATAGAGGGCACCAGACCCAGCCTTGTTCTGTCCCCATTTCAAAATAAGTGTACTTTGTAGAACAAACAGGGATAGAAAACCTGGCCAATTTTTGATTTCTCCAACAGAAATAATTTGAGCCTCTCCACATTCTGAGCCCTTAGAGAAGAAGTGATATTGTTCTCTCTGAGCCTTTTCCAGTGCTGTAGGAGGCAGCAGGGAAAAATGGCTTTGAATCTGGATAAAATATGCTGAATCTCTCAAATATTCTGTTAGCTTGTAAACTAACGTTCACTCCTGAATTGAGCAGATAATCCAGACTGTTACCTCAGTGCAGTTTTGATGAAGTACAATACTGCTTCTTGGAGACTAATGCAATAAAGTGAGATCGCTTCTTCCCTCTCATGTGTAGAAAAAGATATCATAGCATTTTCAGAGAATGGGAAAGTTTTCAAAATAACCTGGACAATATATATCCCTTATCCATACTTTATTTGTTAGACGATATTATTAATACAGTTTGTCTAGTAATTGATTCAATTGCCTTTCTTAAACAGCTTGCTGTGCACAATTGTTTGACACGCTTGCTTAATTTCAACAGCAGCTTCAATGACAAGAATTCATTGGCTATAAAACATCTTGGGACATCATGATATTGTGAAAGGCACTGTATAAAAGCAAGTTTTTTTTTTGTTCTGGAGGATTCAGATGCTGTCCATTAATCTATGTCATAACTTTTAATTTTCCAGTGCCCCAGCTTCACTGCCCACCCACTCCCCTACCCTCACCTGATACAGCCCCACCCCCACAGCCTAGCTCCTGATTTCTGTCTCCCTACATGGTTCCTCTTCTTAGGCAACTCAT